CAGTCAATTTACTCTACATTTTACCATTCACACTAGAAAATAAATTAGATGTAATAGTTTGGTTATTAGAAAAATGAATTCAACTATGACTGATGACTACAAACAAATACAAATTTAGATTGCAGATAATAGTTTATGCCACATTCAAAATATTTATTAGCCATTTGCTCCAAAAAAACCAGAAGCAGAGAGGAAGAAAATAGCGATCTGGTTGTGAGCTCGGTCGATGGCCGGAGGCTCCTTCAGCTCCGTCGTCGGCCGGGTCGGCTCCTTTAGTTCTGTTCGTAGTTTGTTTCTTCAATTTCGGTGATAAGTTCTTTTGTGTCTTGGGAAGAAGATCTCGAGTTTCGGCTTGGTGATGGTGAGGTCCAGACGTTTCTTCTTTGGCGGTGGAGCGAATGCTTCCTCGGTGGATTAGAGGTATGGAGCTCTCGGGTATTGGTTTCTATGTCCATAGTTTCAGTTAGAAGGGTTGCTTTGGCTTGGCTTTAGTCACTTGGTTTCGAATTGGTTCGATAGTAGGTGGTTTTAGTCTGGCCGTCAGTAGTCTTTGAGGTTTCTTTCCCTCGGCACAGAACTTTGTTAGGTTGTTGCGATGTATGTCTACGGTTTGTCTATATTGTCCTGGATTATTGGCCTAAGCTCTAGCTCATATTTGGATGGTTGATGAGTCTATACCTTCGTTTGTATCTTGTACCTGCTTGAGGTGGTCTTTTGGCGCTGTTTGATTAGGAGTGACTCTTTCTTGATGAAGAAGATGGTCTCGAGGATGTTTTTCCTCGTCTTGCTGTTTAGCATCCTTTATATCTGATGTGAATAATTTCTTCTATTGGCGTTATGCATACCAACACCTTGCCTTCGTGTACTGGGTTGTGTATCAATATGAAGAATCTTGGATGTTTGGGGTCTACTCTTGCTTGGGATTGGTCTCTTCTTCCTGGTTATTCTTTGGTTTTTGTCACTCTTAGTTTGGTTCTACCTTGGTCTCGTGATATGATGACTTTGTCTCGAGTGTGCGTGCAGCTCCTTTTCACCTTTATCGACGTTGTGATTCGAAACAGTGGTTCTACGTTTGAGGGATTCAATGGAAGGAAGACTCTTGGCTTTGTTGGTGTTCGAGTTGGTTGTTTTAGATTTATAATCTTGGCTTTAGTTTGATGTTTCTGTAGCTATGTGTTGGTCTTTTCGTCTGAGGATTTCGATATAGATTCTCCTTAGTATTTCATCTTCGTATTCCATCTTTGTAATCCAAAAACATATTCCAATACCGGGAAGATGCTTAATAAAATGTTTTAGATGAAAAAAAAAAAAAAGTTTATGCCACACTGCACTCGAGAGTTGATTGCGTGCGTGTTTAGTGAAGGTTTATTGTTGACTTGCATATATGAAACAACTATTTATGAGTTGACTAATTGCCTAATCCATCATTTTTCACGTTGCGATGTGACTAAATATACTCAAAACATTATTGCATTTGTAGAAAAGTAAATAACCCTATTTTTTAGGGTACTG